ATTCATTCTATTTTCTCTAATTCAGACATTTTATGACCACTCCACATATATATATATATATATATATATATATATATATATATATATATATATATATTATATATATATATATATATATATATATATATATATATATATATACACACGAAAAAGTTATAACTATAGAAAAGACCTATTATGAGTTGAATTTTCTATCATTTTTCATTATCTTTTAAGTATTTTTTTTTAAAAGTGAAATGCTATTAAAAAAACAACATATATTTCTTGATTATTTTATTATATCATTATACTTTCAGTTCTTATTAAAAATCTATTTTTTGATTTTTTTTTTTGACAATTTATAATGTTGTCCTTTGGATTTGCTTTAGTTGCTTATTGATACATTTACAAAGTATCATGTCTTTAGAAACTATTTGCCTCTAGAAATAAAATGTAACATCCTAAAATTCATGACAAAAAATTTCATTTTTAATATAACTAAAAGACATTTGTAACTTGGTTTACACATTGAAAAGCATTTCAAATAAAACATTTATCATAGTTCTTTCCTAGAAATCACATAATGCGGAAAACATAGTTGGATGCGCTGTAACCATCCCAAGCTCATTTATTTGAAAACTGGAGGTACCTAAAAGCAAAACTGAAAACTATAATCACGAAGCTTAGTGAGTTCCCCAAATACCACATACCATACGTATCAACATGTTGTCTAGCATAGCTGGGTGCTGGCCTACCCTGTCGGTCTCTTTCAACCGAATATTGTCTAGCATATAAGCACATAAGTCACATACTGTCATACATAACCATGAGCCATACATACATTAATGTATCATAATCAATAAAGATGTTATGTGCAGATAGATAGTCTTGCTATTATGTCACGAGCCACCACATGGTCTTTCTTGCCAAGCCAGGGGCCACCCCTAGGTCTTACAGACAAGTACCAAGAGCCACTTCCTGGTCTTCCATGCAAGCATCACAAAGACAACTAGCATGTATACTAGTCTACTTAGCTAATTAGTAGACATTGTGTCAGGAGCCACCTCCTGGTCTTTCATACATAATACCTAGGGTTAACCCTCAGGTCTTCCTATCATACATAATAGCATACAGTGTGTGCCAGGAGCCGCCTCTTAGCCTTTCATACAAGATGCCTAGTGTTAACCCCCGAGTCTTCCTACAATACATAAGCCAAATGGTTCGACATTGGTGCCTTCGACCCATACAAACAGTGAGGAGACTCACCTCGAATACAAAAGCTCCCCAGAAGAAATCCTTAGATGCTACCCTGTCGGCTTTCCGAGCTATCAATACCAGAACCAGATAAAATCTTAGTTAATAGGCCAAAACCCTCAAGTTTGGGCCACAGTCAAATTTGGTCAAAATTCAACGGAAGTCAAAGTCAACAAATCAAACTTTAGGCTGAGTACGCCCAACGTACTCAGCTCGTACGCATGGCGTAATTACCAACCAGAATCAGGACCCCATACGAGTACGTGCAGCGTACTCGAATGTACGCACGGCGTGCCTGACCAAATGGTACTTTTCCATTAAGTGCTTAATCTCTTAAGTCCTTTCATCCAACACTCAGATCTAGTCCCACAACATCAGTATATTTCATAAAGTTTCCACCTTTATGACTTTCCATGTCTAGAAAAGATCCAAAAGCTAAAACCGTAACTTATTAATCCATTAAGACATCATGATACTCTCATGGAAGGTATAGAAGGATCAAGATTACATTTTTATACATCCTAAAAGCTCCATAATGGATAAAGTTTCCAACTTTATCCATTAGAATGGTCCAAACAACCAAGATCTAGCCTTTAAGCATGAAATGGGACCAAAAGTGCATCTTTTTCAACTTAATCCATTAATTCCAAGTCTCCAACCTTCAGATCTGAATCATAATGATGTTTAGATGGATAAAGTTTCCAACTTTATCCATAACAAGGTCACAAACTTTCAAGATCTAAACTTTATGCACTAAAATGACCAAAAGCTCATAAAATCCAAAACTAGCTACATCTAACAAATGCATCATCAAGATTCAAACTTTATACCTCTAGGAGATAGATCAAGGTGAACAAAGTCTAGATCTACAAGCTCCAACGCAACCAACACTTCCACAAGAAGTTTCTTCTTCTCCAAGGTACACCATGCATAGTCCAAAGCACTTAAAATCACCTTCTTTTAGCTCACAATGCTCATCTAAGGTTAGCGATGGCAAAAAAAAAAGCCCGAACCCCACGGGGAAACTAGAAACCCGATCATTTCGGATCGGGTAACGGGTCGTTATCAGGTTTTTTATCGGGGCAGAGTGTGTTATCCTCGCCCCAACCCGCCCCGCCCAGATTATATATATATATATATATATATATATATATATATATATATATAATGTTCGAAACATTTTGATGTTAATTACACGCGTTCAAAGATAAAATACTTGTTGTGGACAATCTTTTTAGTTATTAACAATCTTGTGTGAATGATCATTTTTTTTTTATGTTTTGACGTATTCAATTAAACTTAAATCAAATAATGTTTAATATAACGTCCAGTTTATTTTATTAAAGTGATGCTTAATATTTTTAATTTAAAAGAGATTCTAGAACATGTATTTTTTAAAAGATATCGGGGTACCCTAAAACGGAATAAAGATTCTATTATGAATTGTTGTAAACTCGATAAGATACCCGAAACCCAACAGGAAAACCCAAACCCAATGGGGCGCCTCGATAAGATACTCGAAAGATATTGGGGCGGGTTTGGGCAACCATGGCCCGCCCCGAACCCCTCCTGTTGCCATTCCTATCTAAGTTTAGGGTTTCATGAAAGGCTGTTGGAGGGGTGGAGGCTGAGAATGGAATGAGTTTGGGAGGGAGCTAAGGAGCTTAAATAAGGCTTAACCCATGAAAATAGGGTTTGGGCATTGATTGCGTACACCCAACCTATACCTGGTATGCCCAACGTACTTATGATTCCATTAGTACGCCTAACGTACACCTTTTTGTACGCCCAGCGTACTTAGCTTGGCCCGAAACCACCAAAACTTCAAATGGTCATAACTTCTTCGTTCTAATTAACTCCGTTTTCGACGTTCTTTATATCCACGGAAAGGTGTTGATGATCTCTACAATCCTATCTAATTACTTTTGACTTAAAACACATCGAACTAAAATACATAATTCATAAAAGAAGTGTGAAACCCTACATTCCAATTTTACCCCTTTGACTCCAAAGTGCAAACTGAACTATTCGGTCACATATCTACATTACCCACATCCAAATGGACCTAAATATTACCTTTTCAAAATCCCTAATCCACAAGATGACCGCTTTTCGGGCCACAACCTCGAATTAGGAATTGATTCGGAACTAGCGTTACATAAAAATTTCCGGAAATATTATTGGCATCTAACATGGACAAACGGCTAGTGTGTGTGTGTGTGTGTCTATATATATATATATATATATATATATATATATATATATATATATATATATACACACGGAAAAGTTTAATAGAGAACTATTATTAATCAACGAACCAAGGAACCAATCCAAAGCGTCGGAATTTGAAACGATCAACGTCAAATGGAAGAGTTGTAAACTTTTATAATAACCGCACATATACCGGATTCTAACAAAACTCACTTCCTTTTTTTCATTTAAATTTTTTTTAGGCCAAGTTTTTTATCGAAAAAAAAACCGAATATACCGTTGTTCACGATTTTTCGTCCTCTTTCGTTAGAGATCAATGATGATATATATAAAAAACGAACTTTTTTTTTCTTCGAAAAAACCCCGCTTAATTTTCTTAGTTTTTTCAATATTTAAGTTTATTTTTATCGAAAAAAAAAAAAAAACTAATTATACCAAAAATATTAATTTTTTGTACTTTACTAAAAAACATCAACACCGACTAAAAAAAACATCGAACAGTGTAGATTCACATTGTGAATCTAAACTGTAAATATTTCAATTTTTAACATTCACAATATGAAAAATCTCGAACAGTTCAGATTCATATTGTGAATATGAATTACAATTATGTACACTGTGAATCTGAAAAGGTTCCAAAAAAAAAAAAAAAAAAAAAAAAAAACTCGATCAGTGTAGGTTCACACTGTGAATCTAAACTGTAAATATTTCAAATTTTAACATTCACAATGTGAAAAAGTTTCGATAAGTTCAAATTCACACTATGAATCTGACTTATTATTATGCACACCGTGAATTTGAAGAGATTCACAATGTGAATCTGAACTGAAATATCGTTTTTTTAACATGAAAATGAGTCTATGTTTAAAAAGTACAAAAAAATATGAATTTTAATATTTTTACTAATTTTAATTTCTACAAAAAAACAGACCATTATTTTTTTCATCGAAGAAAATTAAGTGGGTTTTTTTCGAAAAAAAAATCGTTTTTTATATATCATCATTGATCTCTATGGAAAGAAGGCGAAAAATATTGAACAACATATTCGGTTTTTTTTTTCGATAAAAAACATCGCCTAAATTTTTTTTAAAAGAAAAATGTGTTAAGTTTTTTTATGAAAGGTGGATTTTTTGGTATAATCTGGTGTGTGTGGGGTCCAATGTAAAAGTGTACGTCTATTTTCTTACCCATTGATCGTTATGATTTTCGATGCTCACAATTGGTTTTTTGGTTAATTATAATCCCTATTGAACTCACCATATATATATATATATATATATATATATATATATATATATATATATATATATATATATATATATATATATATATATAGAGAGAGAGAGAGAGAGAGAGAGAGAGAGAGAGAGAGAGAGAGAGAGAGAGAGAGAGAGAGAGAGAGAGAGATAACGATGAAACTTAAAGAGTGCAGCCTTACCCCTACTAAAGAGGGTTGCATTCTTTGTGTGCGTATACCCATTTCTATTAATTTTTATTTACAATAAACTTTATATAAATATCTCTTTGTGACAAGTATGTATCATGTTAACCGTCTTTAATGGCTCTTAAGCATTTCTCGGTGGTCCTACTTCTCTCTGCTTTGGGTATGTATCATGTGTTTTTTGCTTCAATACATCCGCTTTTCTTAATAATAACATTTCATGGTATTTCTTATACAGGTGTTGATGCAGCAGTTTTTACATTCGAAAACAGATGTGCCATGACCATATGGCCTGGGATCCAACCGTCTGCTGGCCGACCCTTACTCATGAATGGTGGTCTTGAGCTTCAACCTCTAGAAACAACGAATGTGACAGCTCCAATAGGATGGTCAGGACGCTTTTGGGGCCGAAGCGGATGCACCTTCAATAATCATGGTGAGGGAACATGCGAAACTGGAGACTGCGGAAATGGTCTTTACTGCAACGGTGCTGGGGGACAACCCCCAGCTTCGCTAGCTGAGTTCACCCTCGATAGCCCTTTAGATTTTTATGATGTGAGCCTCGTGGATGGATACAACTTGCCCTTATCGGTATTCCCATATGATGACTCGCGAGTTTGCCCCAGCATTAGGTGTGACACTGACTTGAACCTACACTGCCCTTCTAATCTACAAGTCAAAGGGAATCATGGAGAGACGGTGGCCTGCAAGAGCGGATGCACAGCTTTCCAGTCGCCTGAATATTGTTGCACTGGTCACTTCCAGGATCCTAATATATGCAAGCCCACGAAATACTCGGAATATTTCAAGCATGGTTGCCCTACTGCTTACAGCTATGCTTTTGATGACGGATCAAGTACTTTTACTTGCCGAGAAGCCAATTATATGATCATATTCTGTTAAAACTTTTTGGAAAGAATAGAATAAATATATGCCTCGAAAACGAGCGATATAGTACTTTATAAGACCATGTAACATATCTATAATTCCTTACTGTGAAGATTATAGGAATAAACGGAGTGACTTATGGACAATGGTTGCTATGTATGGCCACTAATAATTTTATAGTTATACAACATGATCTTAATAACACAAGATCATGTGTCTTAGTGTCACAGAGCTTGTGTCAAGGAAAATGAAATGGGCGGAAGATTAGGGTCAAAAGCTATCATGACATAGATATAGAATGTAATCTTGTACTTAGGGTTTCATATATGCTCAAGAGTCAAGACAAGCACAATAAAACTAATATTCATCCGTCCAAAATTATTTTCCACCTTATTATTTTAGTTTTTTCCAAAATTATTGTCCATTATCAAAATTAGATATACAATTTACAATATTACCTTACATTTAATAAAGTAATCTAGAATAATTAGAAATGCACATTACCTACGGTTTTCAGAAAAAGGGTCATTTTACAAAAAATAAAAAAATAAAAAAAAAAATAATAATTATTCTTTTTTCTTAATATGCTATAACCATCAAACATAGCGCCGGATTCCAGCAAAGACTTCGATTTAGAATGCATGCTGAAGAATTGTTTAGGCCAATTCTAGGAGGAAAGATAGAAGTATTGTCCGCAACAACTATTAGCTTTACAAAAAATTAAGTCAATGAATAAATAATATTTATCTATGATAGATATATGTTATTAATCAATATAAATAAAAAATTAGATAATATATTTATTTATTATTTAACAACAAGTTAAATAAAAGAGTTTAGTATAAAAATAAATAAAAATAATTATTAATTAATATTATTTTAAAAGGTTTTAATAAATTGTTGACTAAAGTAATTGAGTTTGAGTTTGAGTAATCATAGGTGGTGTTTGTTTTTATAAAAACTTCTTCAAATCTCTTATTGCTTTGCGGCGCAACACACGCGTAATACTTTTTGTCCCGCAACAGTTTGTTTTTCGGAAGTTTTTGGAGCTTAAAACCTTTGCCCATGTACTTGTAACGCCCTGTTCTAAAATATTCGTTTATGGAATTTCAGAGGCTAAGGCCAGGGGCGTTTTAGTCCTTTATTAAATTTGGAGTTATTGTTGAGAAGTTTTCGAGTCGGGTTGTGTTGTTAGAAACGTAGGATTTCTCGTCACCTTTCCGTGGATATAAAGTTCATTAGAATCGGATCTAGAATGAAGGAGTTATGACACTTTAAAGACTTGGCAAGAATGGCCCTTATAGAGAAAAGTTTGCATAGAAGACCATTCATGCGTGTTGGGGTGTACATGTTTAGCTGAGTACGCCCAGCGTAAGGCTGGTGTACGCCCAGCGTAAAGGGACAAAAGATCGCGGGTCTTATAGGCGTACGCCCGGCGTACGGGAGTTACGCCCAGCGTACCCTAACAGCTTAAAAACCCTAATTCCTGGGCAAGCACTATATAAAGGACATTATAGCTCCAACCCTAGCCCCCATGTCAGCCTCCCCAACCTCAGAGGAAACCCTAGAACATCCATATCTTCATTTTACGAGATCTTGACCTTGGAGAACCCATTTTGGTGGATTAAAGCTTGGAAGCAAAGAGAAGAAGGTTGGCAAGGAGGAACCTTTGAAGCTAGAGCTTGTAGATCTGGGATAAGTGCTTCATTTTGGACCTCTGCAAGGTAAAAAGTCTTGAGCTTGATGATTAACCTCTTAGATCTCCTTAGTACAAGTTTATGGACCTTTTTGGTCCCAAGATTGAGACTTTATGACTTAAGCTCGTTTCTAAGACCAGGGTTGCCTCCCTTAGAGTTATATAAGTCCCATAAGCAGTAAAGTTCTGATCTTTATGGTCCCAATGAGTTCATGCATAAGTTAAGACCTTTTTTCATGGAATTAGAATATGGGTTCTGGAGTTGGGAGTTATGTAAGTCATGGAAGCCATAAAGCAAGCAACTTTATGGATTAGGGAATGGAATAAGACCTAGATCTAAGTTTATGGCTCTTGAGTTGGAGTATTAAGTGCTTAATGGAAAGTGTCTTAACAGAATGAGTACGCCGAGCGTAATTGCAAGTACGCCCCACGTACTCTCTACAGGTCAGTACACTAAGCATACATCAGAGTACGCCCGGCGTAACGCAGTCAGTTGGGCTTATTGCATTTTGGGCCTCGGTGTGGGCTGAGTTGAGTCTTAGGGTCCTTGGGCCTTAATGGGCCATCAGAATTCAGTTATTAAGTACCAAAGATTAAGCATTGGGCTTGAGTAAGGTCCAGTAAAGGGCTTTGGGCCCAATGGAGCAAATTGGGCCATTAGTGGGCCTTTAGTGGGGCAATGGATGGGCTTAGAAGGAATTGAGGGTTTTTGGGCCATGATGCGATCATACCATAACAGGGGTAAAATTGTCATTTTACCCATAGGAGAATCCCTATTCTGATTTAGTATTTTATTTCCCGTGATAGCTGGAAAGCACCCGGAGCAGCAGTTAGGGATTTCTCATTCAGGAGTTCAACAGTTAGCATCACAAGGTGAGTTTCCTTCCAGTAGGAACGGGTCTAAGGCCACAATGTCGGTCCGTTTAGTTAGCAGTAGTTTCCGGACTTCGATCCGATGCAGTAGTTAGTATGTTTGATGCCTTCGTGGCTCAGACAGGATTTATGTGTTATGTGTTCTGGGCTACGACCCGATGTAGTATACAGTATATGTGTGTTCATGCTAGTTGATATGTTTATGTTATGCTTTGTTCAGTTGAGTTCCGGACTTCGGTCCGATACAGTTAGTCCGGACTCCGGTCCGATGTAGGGGACAAGGTCCCAGTTAGTTTCCGGACTTTGGTCCGATGCAGGGGGCAAGGCCCCAGTTAGTCCGGACTTCGGTCCGATGCAGGGGACAAGGTCCTAGTCAGTTTCCAGACTTCGGTCCGATGCAAGGAGCAAGGCCCGAGTTTAGAGATGCACACAAAAACCGGTTTCACTATTCAAAACCGGATTGGGTCAAAACCGGTTTTGACCCAACCGGATCGGATCGGATTTAAAACCGGATTTTCAATCGGATCCTAATCCTATATTCCAAATCGGATTTGATACCGGATCGTAAACCGGATTCGCTAAAAACCGGATCCAAATCCGCCCCAAAATCCGATTAAAACCCACTAAAATCGGTTTAAACCGGTTTCAAATCGGATTAGAATCGGATTCGGATTTTGGTTAGAACCGGATTGGATTTTGACCGGATTCGGATCGGATTTTGACTGGATCGGATTTTTGATGACGTAAGCGAAACCGGATCGGATTCGGATCCGGATCGGATCGGATCGGATTCGGGTTTTGTGCATCTCTACCCGAGTTAGTTCGGGCCTCGGTCCGATGTAGTGGTCAAGGCCCAGTATGTGCTTTATATGTTATTGTATGGTATGTGGTAGATTGGGGGAGCTCACTAAGCTTTGTGCTTATGGTTTTAGTTTTTGGTTTCAGGTAATCAATTTTTAAAAGAGGAGTTCGGCGAGGTTGCAGTGCACACACCATTGTCAGCTAGCCTGGGAGTGTTCTATTCTGATAATGAGATTATGTTTTGAATTAGAAACTAAAAAATTATGTTATGACTTATGATAATATTTTTATAAATATGGTTTTAGTAATGTTATAAAAGAAATTTTCAGTCGTGATTTTTGGGTCGTTACAAGTTGGTGTCAGAGCCTTGGTTTGAGGGATTCGGACATACTTGAGAGTGTGTCTGGACTCAAACTAAGGAAACGGGAAAAAGGTTTTCAAAAGAAAAAACAATTTCGAAAGGAATTTTTGGTAAAAAGGAGTTTGAGAAAAGAAAAGAGTTTTAGAAAAAGCGAAAAGAATATTTAGAAAGAGAATAACTTGAAAAGAGAAAAAGGGTGTGATGCATGCAATCAGCCGAGCTCAAGTAAGTACTTCCAAATTACCTATACAAGTTTATGATCATCAGTTTCAGTTTAAGTTTTAATTCCAGTTTCAGTTTTAGTAGAACAGCATGCTGGTATAGGACTAAGGATCTAGGAGGATGCCTTATGTGCCTGCTTTATGTGTTTCAACTTGATAAGAATTGCATGCTAGTATTAAGTAGACAGTAGTAGGACAGCCTGTGTACGTTATGTCTAATAGTATGAGCTTAGCATTGTATGCTAGTACAGTTTCTTATTATGAGAATAGTTCTGCATGAGTATGTTTCTTTTATCTGAATGTTGCTTGCTTTGTGCTTTGTGGGACTCTAAGTGATGGGAGTTAGCCATTAGGTGAATACGTCACATCATATGTGATAAGGGTTGAATAATCTCAGAGTGCTGAATTTGGCCCTACTGCGTAGCTCTCGTTTGAGTCTAACCATTATAGGGACGAGTCTTTTACTCGAAGGATTATCCGTGCCTCATTGTATGTGATGGTATGCAGGTGGTGGCTAATTGGCATTACGAGGAGGCCTTCAACAGTTGAGGACTGGTTTGGGTGGAGTCAGAGGTTCCCTAGGGCAATCCTAGGATGAGAGTAGCAAAGATTAGCAGTAGAGAAAAGGGACTTGGTGGAGTTGAGGTAACTCTTGAGGAAAGTACAAATAGATGTGGAAGGTATTATGGGCCTGTACTATTGAAAGCAAAGGATCCATACTCGATTCAAGAGGGGCCGAGGAAAAACCAGGGAACTAGTAGAAGGTGTGAGATGTCCCTCAGCAGCGGTGTGTATTAGTCAGTAATGTGTTATGTTTTCAGCATGGTGACGTTGCGCGAGATACCAGTTGGCAGTTCAGGTGCCAGGGAGAGATCTGGCTTAGGTTCTAGAGCCGGGAAGCTTACAAATCATATGAGGGATTTCATTTCCACAGAGATCGTGCGCAACATCATTGATCAGACTCCAATGATTTTTCGTTCAGTTAGGGAGGCCACTATGGAGCTTTTGGACAGTCATCTTAAGGCCTTAGGGTCGGGATAGTTTCAGGGCAGTTTGGGGCTCGTATAGAGCCCGATTCTTATGGAGTTCAGGGATCTATCAGGGAGGGACCTCTGCAGGATTGGATAGTCAGGGAGGTTTCGCGAGCCATTTGCAAGGAGCTGCCCGACGTTGTCATGAGGGTCACTGATAGGTTGACCGCAAAGCTCCAAGATCGAACAACGGTTATTCAGACGATGGATGGGGGTTGTTGAGGTAACGCATGAGCAAGATTTGGGCAGGAAGTCGGAAAGGAAGAGGAAAAACGGATGAGACTTAGGTAGCCACAGGTACGGGCAAGAGGCCCAAGGGGTCGGATTCGAGATCGAGGGACTACTAGAGCCGCAGTCGATGCGGGAAGTGTGGTAGGACACACGAGGGTGCGTGCAGGCATAGGAGTGGTGGTGATGGTGGATGTTTCAAGTGTGGCCGGATGGGCCATTTTAGCAGAGATTCTATTGTTACCATCTCCCAGGGACTTGACCCGATATGTATCAATTGCAGTCAGAGGGGCTACAAGAAGGCCCACTGTTCGAGTTTGTTTACAGCAGGGCGGGTACCAGCTTCTGCCCCTGGGACTTCGAGAGTCACCAGCAGACATCAGGTTCGGGCAAGGGCGCCTACGTCTCGAAGCCGAGTATTCCAGTTGATTTTCATCAAGGATTCTAGCAACACTAAATGATGGGGGTACATATATTTTACCTTCCTGTCAACTATTATTCATGATATTATTGTTATGTTACGGCATTGAAATCAATAAGCATATGTGTTGGGGTATTATATTACTTGCCTATGGTTAAGTGATATGCCATTTGCATACCTTGGGATTAGAATGGTGAATTGGAGGTCATCCCCTCTAGGGTAGGTTACTTTGGATACATTAACTGTAGCATGTATGTGTAAGATTCAGTAGTGCGTCACTACTTGCGGAAGGTGTTAGTCGGGTAATGATCAGTTATATTCTCAGTAGTGACAATCCAGAGTTTCTAGTGGAGTAGCTAGCAGTCGATAAGGAAGTGGGTCTGAGATGTTCACCCTAAGCACAGGTTCTCGGGATGCAATTATTAAAACAGGTACAGTTAAGGATTGAAGGGTTCCCGGTTAGTTAGCAAGAATGATTCGGATCTGGTAAAGGTAAGATGGAGCGCCATCAGAGGTAAACGTGGGCGAGCAGCAAATTGCCCTTTTTATGGAAGGAAGGTTAGGGAATCCTTTTGACCAGTAAGCAGTAAGGAGTTAGCCGGATCCAAGTGGGGGAGAAACCTCCGAGTATACAAGGGTAAGAGTATGCAGATCCATAATAGATTAATAGGTATGCGGCCTCTGAGAAGAAAAGATAGTAGCAGAGATTGATGGATTGAGGAGTTTAGGATTGGGAGTTTGAGGATCTCCCCAACAGATAGTTCATGTATTCGAGATGGTTAGTAGCTGGTTGGGAATCCAGGTTGGAGGACCACCTATAGGACTCTAGTAAGTTGGGATGAGGATCTTGAGAACAGTTAGCAAGAGATGCTTTCGTGTTAGTAGTTAGTAGCAGAGACATCATGAAGAGCATGGTAGAGCAGCGGGAAAGCCACAACATTTTTCTAGCAGTCAGATAGTAGCAGTAGTGTTGTAAGTCTACGGGGGTAGCCATAGCATACACTAGCAGTCAGGTAGTAGTAGTAGTGTTGTAAGTCTGTGTGGGTAGCCATAGCATACACTAGTAGTCAGATAGCAGTAGTGTTGTAAGTCTGCGGGGGTAGCCATAGCAGTCACTAGTAGCCAGATAGTACTAGGGAGTTGTAAGCCTGAGGATGTAGCCATAGCATTCATCAGGTCAATAGTCAGCATGAGCGCGTTGTTTGAATGCAGGGGAAGCAGTAGTACCCACCAGTTCGGGTGTAGTAGTAAGGATATGGGAATCCATAGGTTAGATTTCAGATTTCCCAAATGGTTCAGTTATGGTTAAGTCGGCGATTCAACAGTTGGATCGTCTCCACAGTTATGAGATCAGGGAAGAAGTGGGCTATTTGGGTTCATGTATGTTAAGGGCTACCGTTAGTCTAGGAGCCATAATTTTTAGTCCTGGATATGATGATGTCAGGATGCCATGTTTGGACCTGATCGGTGGATCGGAAGGTTGATAGAGCCGCAGTGACAGGATAACTAGTGGAAACTAGTTCCAGAGAAAGATTTTGTTGAGGAGTCATGGGAGCGACTAAGTGGGGAGTCCTTGGACTCCACAATTGAGTTGAAACTCAATGTTGCAGATAATCGACGAATGATTGGAGACCAGGAAGGTTTCGAGATATTTTGGGAAGCAGCCATATAGTAGTTCAGTGTTTCAGGCAGGTTAGTGTTTCAGGAAGTTCAGTATTGTAGGCAAATCAGTGTTTCAGGTAGTTGCAGTGTGATGGCCAGTATTAGTAATTGTGTTGGAATGCAAGTGCTAATGGTATAGTTGGTCAATTTGAAATGACAAATCCCTCTCAGCAGGACCAGTTGAGTCATCTGCCACGTATAGGTGATCTTCAAGGATAATTAGGCAGGTAAACTTTCTTTCATGATGGAAGACTCGAGTTATGGGAAGTCGAGTAGTCAGATGAGAGATAAGCAGGCTGGTTCCAGCATCATCGATTTAGTATGGGTGATAGAGTGGATAGAATGGTTATAGATAGTCAAAGTATCTTTAGAAGTCGCTGGAAGCGACTAGGAGATTACGATGGGGTGTAGTGATCGGTGGGAGCCCGGTAATCCAGTTATTGGCAGATTAGTTGGACCACGGTGGTCTCAGTGCATCCGGTAGGAGGATGAGGGGCAACAAAATTTTCAGTCAGAGGCAGCAAGTTGACAGAGAGTGCCACATATCTCGTAGAAGGGTTGGATCATCTTAGAGTGGAGGGTTTGGCCTTGCTGCGCAGCGCTCGTATGAGTCTTAACCGTTGCAGGAATGAATCTTTCACTAGAAGAATTGTCTGATCCATTCGCTGGAACGGGTGCTCAGCACTAAGTTATGGAAATGAGAAGCATTTAGTATGTTCCAGCAGTAGTGACCATCACTGAGAGTGGCTGGAGTGATGGACAAAAGGGTTAGAGTCACCAGGAAGGGTGTGGGAGGCGGATTGCAGGTCAGTTGACCATAGAGGTCTTCGAGGATGAAGTCTAGTTTAAGTGGGAGAGAGTTGTAACGCCCTGTTCTAAAATATTCATTTATTGAATTTCAGAGGCCAAGGCCAGGGGCGTTTTAGTCCTTTATTAAATTTGGAGTTATTGTTGAGAAGTTTTCGGGCCGTGTTGTGTTGTTAGAAACGTAGGGTTTCTAGTCACTTTTCCATGGATACAAAGTTCATTAGAATCGGATCTAGAATGAAGGAGTTATGACACTTTGAAGACTTGGCAAGAATAACCCTTATAGAGAAAAGTTTGCATAGAAGATCATTCATGCGTGTTGGGGTGTGCGTGTTTAACTAAGTACACCCAACGTAAGGCTGGTGTACGCCCAGCGTAAAGGGACAAAAGATCGCGGGTCTTATAGGCGTATGCCCGACGTACGGGAGTTACGCCCAGCATACGCTAACAGCTTAAAAACCCTAATTCCTAGGCAAGCACTATATAAAGGACATTATAGCTCCAACCCTAGCCCCCATATCAGCCTCCCCAACCTCAGAGGAAACCCTAGAACGTCCCTATCTTCATTTTATGAGATCTTGACCTTGGAGAACCCATTTTGGTGGATTAAAGCTTGGAAGCAAAGAGAAGAAGGTTGGCAAGGATGAACCTTTGAAGCTAGAGCTTGTAGATCTGGGATAAGTGCTTCATTTTGGACCTCTGCAAGGTAAAAAGTCTTGAGCTTGATGATTAACCTCTTAGATCTCCTTAGTACAAGTTTATGGACTTTTTTGGTCCCAAGATTGAGACTTTATGACTTAAGCTCGTTTCTAAGACCAGGGTTGCCTCCCTTAGAGTCATATGAGTCCCATAAGAAGTAAAGTTCCGATCTTTATGATCCCAATGAGTTCATGCATGAGTTAAGACCATCTTTCATGGAATTAGAATATGGGTTCTGGAGTTGGGACTTATGTATGTCATGGAAGCCATAAAGCAAGCAACTTTATGGATTAGGGAATGGAATAAGACCTAGATCTAAGTTTATGGCTCTTGAGTCGGAGTATTAAGTGCTTAATGGAAAGTGTCTTAACAGAATGAGTACGCCAAGCGTAATTTCAGGTACGCTATGCGTACTCTCTAGCAGTTCAGTACACTAAGCTTACATCAGAGTACACCCCGTGTAAAGCAGTCAATTGGGCTTATTGCATTTTGGGCCTCGATGTGGGCTGAGTTGAGACTTACGGTCCTTAGGCCTTACTGGGCCATTAGAATTCAGTTATTAAGGACCAAACATTAAGCATTGGGCTTGAGTAAGGTCCAATAAAGGGCTTTGGGCCCAATGGAGCAAATTGGGCCATTAGTGGGCCTTTATTGGGGCCATGGATGGGCTTAGAAGGAATTGAGGGTTTTTGGGCCATGATGTGATCATGCCATAACAGGGGTAAAATGGTCATTTTACCCATAGGAGAATCCCTATTCTGATTTAGTATTTTAATTCCCATCATAGTTGGGAAGCACCCGGAGCAGCAGTCGGGGATTTCACATTCAGGAGTTCAGCAGTTAGCATCACAAGGTGAGTTTCCTTCGAGTAGGAACGGGTCTAAGGCCATAATGTCGGCTTGTTTAGTTAGAAGTAGTTTCCGGACTTCGGTACGATGCAGTAGTTAGTATGTTTCATACCTTCGTGACTCAGACAGGATTTATGTGTTATGTGTTTCGGGCTACGGCCCGATACAGTATGCAACATATGTGTGTTCATGCTAGTTGATATGTTTATGTTATGCTTTGTTCAGTTGAGTTCCGGACTTCAATCCAATGCAGTTAGTCCGGACTCAGGTCCGATGCAGGGGACAAGGTCCCAGTCAGTTTCCGGACATCAGTCCAATGCATGGGGCAAGGCCCCAGTTAGTCCGAACTTCAGTTCGATGTAGGGGGCAAGGTCCCAGTCAGTTTCCGTACTTCGGCCCGATGCAGGGGGCAAGGCCCCAGTTAGTTCGGACCTCGGTCTGATACAGTGGGTAAGGCTCAGTATGTGGTTTATATGTTATTGTATGGTATGTTGTAGATTGAGGGAGCTCACTAAGCTTTGTGCTTATGGTTTCAGTTTTTGGTTTCAGGTACTCAGTTTTCAAAAGAGGAGCTCGGCGAGGTTGCAGTGCACACACCATAGTCAGCTAGCCTGGAAGTGTTCTACTCTGATAATGAGATTATGTTTTGAATTAAAAACTCAAAAATTATGTTATGACTTATGATACACTTTTTATAAATATGGTTTTAGTAATGTTATAAAAGAAATTTTCAGTCGTGATTTTTGGGTCGTTACAGTACTTCTTAGGGAAGAATTTGTTGTACCTCTTCCCACCCGTTCAAACCTAAACCTAAATAGAATCCAAACCCCCAAAAAAAAAGTTTGCATCCAGCATATCTTCTGCCCATCGATCTCCATCGTCGTCCCCTCCAAATTTGCAACCCACCACCTACCGTTGCCCCACCTTGCCGTCGCCACACCTCTTCGGCGCCTTCCTTCTTCCTTCTCCATCCAGCAGTCGATGTCGCTTATCAAAGGTATGTAATATTTTTTTTCTGTTTTTCTATCAAATCAACCTGGAAATTGGCAATTGAATTCGTTTTTAATCATAACTTGGTGCCGATTTCCTTTTTTTTTTGCATATATGTTGCTGAATTGTTTATATATATATATATATATATATATATATATATATATATATATATATATATATATATATATGTTTTTCTTGTTTTTTTTTCTTTGTTGAAAAGATGTTGTTGAATCAGAAATTGTTGCTGATTTTGTTTTTTTATGCATACATGTTGCTGAATTGTTATTATTGTTGTATGTTGCTTGTTTTTCAACTATAACAGTGATAGTTTATTGCTGAAAGGTCCCCTGTTATATGCTGAAATATCATAAATTTTGTTTAAATGTTCACCGAATATGCTAAAATCTTTGCTGAATACGCTAAAATCTTTGCTGATTTGTTATTGTTGTTGTATGTTGTTTGTTTTTCAACTATAATAGTGATAGTTTGTTGCTGAATGATCACAAATATATGCTGAAACATCATAAATTTTGCTTAGATATTTGCTAAATATGCTAAAATCTTTGTTGAATATGCTAAAATCTTTGTTGAAATCATAAATTTCTATGCAAGTTTATGCTTATTTGCTTATTGTATTGTATAATCTATGCTTATATGGTTTTTTTTATTCATAATGCATTGTTGTTAAAATGTCATCAATTCAAGTTATTATTATGTTGAAATATCATTAATCTTTGTTGCTAAAGTATGTATTCGATATTTTTTGTCATTAGCAATGCGAGATAAACATACATGGACCAATAAGCAAACAAAATTTGTATTACACATTTCTATTGAAGAAGTACAAACTATGGGTAGAAAAGGTTTGAGTTTGCACAAATAATCATGGAACAAGTTAGGAACAACTATTAAGGAAAAGTATGGCGTGGATTTGAATAAAAGACAATTGAAAAACACATATGACAACCTTAAAGCCAAATACATAGGATGGTTATACTTGAAAAACAAAACTGACAACCTTTACAATCCACAAACAATACTTTTAAGTTAACAAATGAGGAGTAGGAGGACTTGAAAAAGGTATATATATATATATATATATATATATATATATATATATATATATATATATATATATTAGAGGTAGTTTGTTTATATAGTTTCCATTTATTCTTATATTACTTTTGTTACATTGATTGGGTTTAAGGAAATCCGAAAGCCACTTCTTTGAAAACCGTCTCATTATTGCTTCCAGAGCTTTGTGCAGAACTCTTTGATGGAAACAGTGCATATGGTAATCTCAGCTATGCCACATCCCAAATACCATCAGGAGATGGATCATCTTCTTTCCATGTCGCACCACTAAATCTTATGGACGCACCTTCCATTAACATAGATGTGGATGATTACTTTTCCAATCATACTGGTGAGCATTTTACTTAGCCACCACCATTTACTGCTTAATCTTCTGCTGATTCACCTTCTGTTGCTTCACCTTCTAGTAACTCCAATAAAAGGGCTAAACGCTCGACTCCTAGACCTTGAGCTCCTAGTGCCTCACTTGATCCACCTCCTTGTGCCTCAACTAAAGCTTCTATTACTGCTGATGATTTAGCACTGCAGATGCAAAAAGCTCTATGCCATTTTACTCAAGGGTCATCAATTCCCCAATATTTAGAGAAGCCTGAGTTACTCAAGTTAGGCCCAGAGGACCCTCTACGATTTGATGCATATCATATTTTTGGAGGGACCATGAATATAAGAGAGACGTGGATAAATTTTCCCAATGATCCACATATATTAAGAGGATGGACCGAGATGACAACTAAGAATTTAGGATTTTTAAAGGATTGAAATATTGTTCGTTAAGTTTATATGTTTGAGTTGTTTAGGTTTTAATTGCAAGTGTTGGAACTATTTGGTGATGTTTTTTGGTTATTTGCTACTTGAATGTTATTTGTAGCATTTGATATTTGAATTTTATGTTATTTGTTACTTGAGTTTTATGTTATTTGGTACTTGATTTAGTCTCTTATTTTTAAAAGGAAAAACGACCCGAATTTTCTTCCGTCAGTGAGGTTAGTTTCATTACTCGATTTATCCTTTTATTTTCGAAAGGAAAAACTAAATTAAAAAATATTTAGTGAAAAAAAATATAATAACAATTTAGGTGAAATAATTTAATTATGTGATTATAATTCATGGAAGGGTGTAAATTTACGTTGAGGGGTTGAGATGTTATAGAAAAGAAACTTGTATTGTCAACTTGCCTAGGTTTATGGTTGAAAGGTGCTAAAAATCAAAATTTTAGTTGGAAGGTGAAAATCAGGTATAACCCCCCATGGGGATTGAACCGATTATGTTTCCGTACTTGATAATCCTCGTGCAAATTAAGAAGCAATGCCGCAATCCACCTCCTGCCTTTGTTACTTGCTTGTAGTCGACAGGGAGTGAAGGAAAAAAAATCGATTCTTGGCCATTCGTTCCAGCGATTGTCGAGTAAGGAGAAGTAAGAAAAAACAATCCAGTTTGTGGAAGGAGGTAATGATCGCATGAGTGGGAAAACTCCATATCGTAGCTGTCGACGTGCGGAGGGAGGACGAGTTCGGTTTTAGGCTTGAGGTTGTATTTTGACTCTACTGGTATCATTCTTAATCGTCATTTTCTCATGTGATCAAACTCTAATTCCGAGAAATTTGATTGTATTATGAGTTTAAATTGGCTTCCAATTTATGCAATTAATATTGTCTTTTTATTCTACACTCTAGAACTTATGTTGGATCAGTTTCTAGCCACTTAGAGTGTGTTTCTTGGTCAATTGTGGCTGTGAAAATCACATGAAACACTCTTTCACAAGTTGATGTTGGTACTCAAATGATATTGGAATGTTGAAGTAAAAAACAAATAAATTTTGTTTCTGTTGTTATATCTCTTGTACCTTTTTACTCAAATCCTTGTGGGTGATTTCATACATTGAAGTCATGCTTTGGGCACTCCTTAAGACCCTTAAAATAGGCCTTTGAGGCCTTGATATGTGGGTAACTATGATGTAGTTTGGACTAACAAAGATGGTGTCAAAAGCCTGGCTTGAAAGTCCTCACAATTCTTGGTGGTATTGCTTGTATCTTTGGTCTCAATAACCATGATGTGGAGGCTAAAACAACAAACTTGAAAACCACATAATGTGTATCTAAAGTTCACTCAAAGTTCATCCATATATGTATCTTGAATGTGAACTAAGTATTTATTGGTGTATGAATATGTTTGGTGTTTGGTGTATAAGGGCATCTTACTTTCAATCAACTTTTAGTCAATTCTTGTTCTTTTCATAAACCATTTAATTTATGTCTTAATACCTTCATTCATGTTTTGTTTTGTTAAATCATGTGGCTTTAATCCTTTTTACAAGGTGATGAATCATATGGTATTGGAAATCTGCATAACAACTTTGTCTCATCTTGCGAGAGCTGTAGCTGCTAATCTGAGCAGAATGTGTGAATGCTCCTATGTAGATAAAATGTAGGAAATAGCGTCTAGTTTTCTAAAATTCTAGATATATGTTAATCGGAGTTGCAGATTTTGTTTTATGCCAAAAACATTGAACAATGGTCAAACTGTTAAAGTTTAAAACATACGTAACCCATTAAGAAATTAAGGGTGTTATTGAAAATTAACCCCAATTTGATGATTGTTTGGTATGTGTGGTTATTAGGTGAAAACTTGACCACTTCAAGAAGGTTCAAGACTTGAAGTAAAAAGGAGATCTCGCTTCAAACACAAGGTGAGCCGATAATTTTTCTTCACTTTAGTGCATAACCGAAAACAACATCTCATAGGTGGATTGTTGATGCAAATTAGGTTCATGATAGACTTATATATGCTTGTAATAATTGTTGAAAATATGTTGTTTGCATCTTGTGTATGGTTGTGCCTTGGTATCGGTTGATATGGTGATATTCATGTTATGTGATAGTTGTAAATTGCATGTGGATATGATGTTTCATGAATTGGTAGTTATATGCTAAAGTATGGTGACATCTTAGTGAACTTCATTACTTGATATTTGCTCATTTAAGCTATATGAGAAACAATGTTATTTTGGTGTATACATGCTTTTGCAGGGTGTAATGGTGACACGGATGGAACCTTGCAGGTCTAATAGGTTGAAAGAGCTTAAGACTTATCGGTTGTTAGTTGCACGAACTTTCATGATGGACATGTGTCACGTAGTTCATGTATACCTCGGTGTGCGGGAACTAGAGTGGTGTTGGCTGTATGGTGTGGCCGGATCAAACATCATATGAGAATCAGGAGCTGTATCATTACAATTGATACCGTTTCTACCGATCTTGAACGACACCGTAAAGTACTTGTACTTTGCGGGCCGGAGTAGTGAAAGTGGATGTCTTGGGGTTTGTGTATTCAGGTGGAAGTCATGAGCCACTTAGAGCACTAAACTGGTTGAGCACACGACTAGTGAACGCGGTTAAGTTATTGGTAGACTATCCCTAAGGAACCCCAAAGTAGTTAATTAATTGAATTAAAAACTACATATAATAAACGGTGAATTAAATTATATGTAATAATTGGTTGACTTAAGTTGAAAACTATATGATTGAAATAAATTATGTTATAATATTACTTGTTTTTCTTGAGTATGCCTTTATTATGATTTGCATGGATGACCTATACAGGAATTATGTGTTTTCTTTATTGGTCTCCTTCTGATTGGTACAGGTAGCTTAGGAGCATGGTTTGGTGAGGTAGGGTTCCTTTTCGGTAGTTAGTTTTAATGAAGATGCCACTTGAGCACGTTTTGTTTTTATTTTCCTTTGAACCCGCTTTTTGCAATAATTAAACAGTTGAATGTTTCTTTATGAAAATGGTAACGTGTGGTTTTAAGAATGGTTAAAAAAAAGTCTTCCGTTGCATTTTTCATTTTAAAAGGATTGTTAAAGTTTAAAAAAATAGAATAAAAATCACAACCTTACAAGTTGGTATCAAAGTCATGTCGTGAGTGAACTGAGTATAAATGCCAGTGTTTAGACTCACAGCTTAGTTGGCTCAATTTCGACCTTTAGGTACTTAGGGGGGGAGGGGGTGTTGAGAGTTGTAGGATAGTTGCTTATAAACTTTCCCTTCCTAATATTGTTATATGCATAAGAAAAAAAAGCGATAATAATAACTCTTTATAAACTAGGATAATGTTGAACGTTGAGGAGAATGTGAATGCTGGAGGAGTGGGCAATAGTTAGAACAACCGCACTCCCGGGACACCGTTTCATGTTTCAGAACCCACCCATTAATCGCCTAACACTTGCCCAACCATCGTAGAGTGCATGCAACACAACGAGTGTCGCCATTATTGGTGACCTTCAGGAGCAGCTCCACGAGCGGGATAGGACGTTGGAGCAGATGCGATAGGAAATGCATGCTGCTGGACTATTGCCACCCGAGGGTGTGAACGAGGGTAGAGATCAATTGTTTGATGATGAGTCACATAGTCGTTCCATGCCAAGGCAAAAGGTTGTTGGAGCCGTCAGACGCCGAGGGAGTTCATTCAAATCCTTCATGGATTGTAAGACGCCTACCTTCGTGGGAGGAGAGAATGTTATGGCGTGCCTTCGTTGGATTAGGAAGATGAACCAAACATTCTGATCTGGTGAATTTACTGAGGACCAGAAGGTGAATTATGCAGTGCAAATGTTTGACAAGGAAGCACTCAAGTGGTGGGGCACTATTGACGCACGACTCACTGAGGCCACTCGGAGAGCTATGACTTGGGAAATTCTTAGTAAGAAGGGGAAAGATCGTTTCTGTAGTGAAGGTAGCATACAACATGCAAATCAAGAGTTTTTGAATCTTTAGAAAGGTAGCATGATGATTGCTAAGTATAACACCACCTTTACTAAGAAGTTACAATTCGCTACTGATTATATCTCGACCAAGGATAAGTTGATTTGTCACTATGTGGAGGGGTTTCCATTTAAGTAACGTGCATTTATGAGATTGAAGACCACTTTAGGTGAGGCCATGGATGAGGCCCGCAAGATAGAGAACGATATAGCCATTTAGCATCGTACCACAGTGAGAATCAGGGAAAAACGTTAGTGGGAGGGTCAATTGGGGTCCTTTAAGAAGCATAAATTTTAGAAGAAGGTTAATAAATCAACATTTTGTAAGAAGTGTCACTCTTCTCATGGGGGTGCATGTAGCAACAACACTATGTGTTGCAAACGTTGTGGTAAGATCGGTCATCGGTTTGAAAACTGTAAGAGTGCTGAGCTGATATGTTATAATTGCAGACAGATGGGGGATATCAGCATTTAGTGCCCCAATCTGAGGGTTTAGACAGGTTATGGTGGCAAGAAAGATGATGCACCGAAGGCACAAGCTCGCGCCTTCAACATGACTATTGCTAAGGCTTGTCAGCATGATGAGAT